GGACAGAAAATATGGCATCTGTGCAGGACCACATCCACACACATACACACACCCACACATACACATCCACACACCCCCACACACACACATCCACAACAACAACCGCCATTCGCCACTAAGTACACACACACACGTACACACACACGTACACACACGTACACACACACACGTACACACACACACGTACACACACACACACGTACACACACACACACACACATACACACACACACACATACACACACACACGTACACACACGTACACACACACACGTACACACACTCCACCCACCTCTGCACGTCACCTCCGCGCCTCCTCCCGCTCCCCGCTCACCGTCCGCTCGTTCCCCCCTCCTCCTCCTGCCCCCCCTCCCCACCACCTCCTCCACCTCCTCCACCTCCTCCACCTCCTCCACCTCCACCTCGTCCACCTCCACCTCCTGGTAGCCGGGCCGGCACCCGCAGCTGCCGATCGGCACCAGCCACTCGCCGTCGGCGCTGCAAAACATCCGCGGCGGCGGGGGCAGAGGCGCCGGCGCGCCCCCCGTCACGGCCGCCTTTGTCTCCCCTCCCCCCGGCGAGGAGGCGGAGGAGGGGGGCAGGCTCTCGGGCCTCGGCGCGTTCGAGAGGGGGGCCGGACGGAGCGCCGCTCGGAGGTTCTGGGGGGCCCCTTGCGGCAGGGGTCCCGCGTTGGGGGCGCACTGCCCCTGCACCTGTCCACAAAGACGAAGATCCCTCGTGTAGCCTCGGCAGACTGTTGGGGCAAGTGCTGTTAGCGGGCAGCACCTGTGAAGGCCGGAACGGCACACGAGGGGTGGGTGGCCAGCACCACGCCCGGCCGACTTCGTCTCTCCGGTGGCGATGTTTACTACACACCGGCTACTCAGTTGAGGCGACCTAGGGGAGGCCCAGGACCAGTTCAGAATAATCGTCACACAGGCAGAGTCTCTCTCTCACTCTCCCTCTCTCTGTCTCTCTCTTTGTCTCTCTCTGTCTCTCACTCTCCTTCTCAGTCTCTCTGTCTCTCTCTCTGTCTCTCTGTTTCCCATACCCCACATCTCTCATACGTGTGCGTGTTGAACTTCTTTCGCACCATACGTAGCCCTCCCCACCACCGCCGCTGCCCACCTCCACGAGCGACGAGGCGTCGGCCCCCGCCACCGTCTGCGGGAAGCGCGTGAGGCCGCGCCGCGTCGCCGGGCAGCGCTTGTAGAAGAGGCGCAGCGACAGGAGGGCCACGCAGGCCCCCACGTCCTGCAGGGCCACCAGGACGCGCGGCCCCGACAGCGGGCCCAGCTCCCGCACCTCGGTGTTCAGCTTCAGCACCCGCTCGCCCACGTCCACCTACGCCGGGAGATGGGGCGGTGACAGGAGCCGTGAAGGATGGTCGAACGGTGGACCGGGGTCCAGATTTCCCCACACGGCAGCGGAGAGCCGGGCGCGGAGCCTTGACTAGGCCTCGGCCGCCGCACCTCGGCACTCGGCTTCGGCGCCCGCTCGCCACACGTCCACCTACGTGGAGACATTGGGTGGCGGCGACCGGAGTGGTGAAGTATGGTCAAAGAAGCGACCACAGAGTGGGGAGGCCTTCACGAAGGTTAGAAGTTCATCTCGGAATTGGGAGTTAGCGGTCAAGATCAGAGTCGTGGTTACGGGGTATGTCTAGGGGTTAGCGGTAGGGTTAGGTATAGCAGTTAGCGCCGGTCTAGGGGTTAGGGTTTGGTGTAAGGCTTAGTGGCAGGTCTGGGGATTAGGCTCAGGGCAGTGCTCTTCATTGCGAGGCTCGCGGGCCACTGGCGGTTGCCCCTGGTGGCCTCTCGTGCGGGTGGTGGGTGCTGCTGTCAACCCCCCCGTGGCTTCAAGCAGAGTGACGGCCCTCACACCGGCGAGCCTAGTCACAGGTAGGCCCTGGGAGTCGGAATTGTTGTTTGCGACGGCTCAGAATCCACGCAGTCGACTCCAACCAACCCGCGGGCCATAATCGGCCCACCGGCGGTTGGGGGGGGGGGGAATTCCACATTGCCAGGGCGGGCGCCAGTCCGTCCGCGCGACCGGTGAGCGGCGATCGGGGTCACCAAAAACGGGGGGGGGGGGGGGGCAGCACCATTAACGTGGCCCCGGGGGGCAGGGACGGGGGGGGTTAATGGCCGGGGCAATCCGTCCCATCGTCTCATTATCAGCTCATGTCGTTAACCCTGCCAGGGCTGATTAAGCGAGAGCAGATGGCGCAGAACTCCGCCGCCGTGAGCGCGATTGATTAATTAACGAGCCCGGGATAATCACTGGGGGAGGGAGGGGGGGGGGGGCTCATGATGACCGTGGCATTGATACCCAGAAGCCGTCCTCGCAGCGGCGGTGGCTTTTGGCTCAGCGATCGAACAAATACGGTGACCGCATCGCACACTCTCAGATGCTATCTACCCTACACTACACACTACACTACACACTAAACACTATACACTACACTATACACTACACACTACACTAAACACTACACTACACACTACACTAAACACTACACACTACACTACACTATACACTACACTACTATACACAATACACTACATTATACACTACACTATACACTACACTACTATACACTATACACTACATACTACACTAAACACTACACTATACACTACACTACTATACACAATACACTACACTATACACTACACTACTATGCACAATACACTACACACTAGTGCTGTACTAGTGACGAATTGGCACGTTCTGTTTACGTGACAACCCTCACCAGTTGGCCGTGTCGGGTGGTGGCGGGTTTAACGACACAACGTTTATAGACTTACGCGATCTCACCCACAGCAACCTCGACACTGTGGACCACATCGGTCGCGAAATCCTCCCACGCGTCATAGACACTCACAGACCCCCCCCCCAGACCCCCCCGGACCCCCCCCCCCCGGCCCCCCCCCCCGGCCCCCCCTCTGCCCCCCCCGGCCCCCCCTCTGCCCCCCCCCGGCCCCCCCTCGGCCCCCCCCCAGACCCCCCCCAGCCCCCCCCCCCGGTAACCTGCGTGAAGCTCTCATCGGCGGCGATGGTGTCGATCTTGACGAGGCCGTCCTCGCTGAGCGGCGTCTCCCCGCCGCCCCCGGCGCCGCCCGCGCCCCCCTCCTCCCCGAAGTAGAGGTTGAAGGTCTCCTTGCAGGTGCCGGGCACGCCGGGGATGCTGCCGCAGTCGCGCAGCGTGAAGCGCAGCTCGAGCAGCAGGCGGCGCGCCGGGCCCCGCGGCACCGCCGGGGAGCGCAGCCAGTTGCTCTGCCCCGGGGGCGACATCACGTTGCACACCTGGAAGGTGCGCAGCGGGCGGTTGTGCTCGTCGATCTCGCTGATCTCCTCCCACTGCGGGGGAGGAAGGGGGGGTAAGTGGGGGGGTAAGTGGGGGGGTAAGTGGGGGGGAGACATGGGGGGGGGGACATGGGGGTGGGGGGTAAGTGGGGGGCAGAACGTGGGGAGGCAAGGTGCTGATTGGTGGGTTGTGCACGGCGATCTTGCTTGAGAAACACACACCACCACACACATCACCCACATCACACCACACACACACCACACACACACACCACACACACACCACACACACCAACACACCACACACACACCACACACACACCACACACACACCACACACACACCACACACACACATCACACCACACACACACCACACACACACCACACACACACATCACACCACACACACACCACACACACCCACACACACACACCCCCCACACACACCAAACACACACCACACGCACATAGAGAGTCACAGACTCACATAGAGACCCATAGACTTACACTGAGACCCACAGACTCACACAGAGACCCACAGACTCACACAGAGACCCACAGACTCACACAGAGACCCACAGACTCACACAGAGACCCACAGACTCACACAGAGACCCACAGACTCACACAGAGACCCACAGACTCACACATGGCCGGGTTTGTGGCTCAGCGCGCTAACCGCTGCGCCACCGCTCCCCACTCACCCAGACACACAAAGACAAAGTTCCCCCCGGTAGCCTTCGCAGACTGTTGGGGCAAGTTCCGTTAGCACGCACCACGTGTCATCTACCCCCTCCCGCCCGCCTCCCCCCTCCCCCAATCTGTCTCCCTCCCTCGTTAATTAGTGGCCCAATTAAGCGACAGTAGCACTCCCCTCCCTCCCCCCGGCAACGGTTGAACACCCCCCGTGAATTCACCCCCCCCCCTCACCCCCCCCACACTGTCCCCGATCATCTCCTGCGGCAATCCGCGGACATTCCACATTGCTGTGACGGGCGCCTGAACCGTGCACACGCAGGCCCGGCCAGAAACGTTTTGTTGAGTCGGGCACCGGAGGTGCATCGCATTCAGTCAGCCGATCATCACTTAAAGGTCGATAAATTAAGGAGCTATTTGGGGGGTGGGGGGGGCTGTCAAGACATTTGTTGTACGTCGTTAGCCCCCCCATTATGAGGCCTGGGCCCCCCACCTTGTCAATTGTTTGAGTTTTGAAAACGAATTTCTGTAGAACTGCTCCTGGTTGTTGTTGTTGTGGTTGTTGTTGTTGTGTTTAGTTTGTTGTCCTTCCCTCCGCACACTCAGAATAGCAAAGGTTGGCTACGTACGGTGCGAAAGAAGTTAAACATTTACACAAACAATAGACGCCCTTCACTATCCTTCAAGATCACACACATCAGCGTGTGTGTGCGTGTGTTTATGTTACACAAGAGAGGTCACATGCAAACTGCAAACAGCTGGACAATCCGCAGCACTCGTGAGCAACACAAATTTAACAATGACTCCAAGCTCTGCAGTCCTCTATCTATTCAGCGTCTCATGGGCAGCAGGGTCAAGCCTTGGTAGAGACAATGCTGCGGAACTGTGTGTGATGTGCGATGCTCAAGGCGAAACCAGTCCGGAGTTCGATGAATGGCATCGGTCCAAGCAAGCCGGACTCTGCCGCCGCTGCTGCTGAGACACTGAACGTGGAAACTGGTCCTGAGTCTCACCATTGGAACCTCATTTGCCAGTAAAAAATATGATAATTGGTTTTTTACCCTTATATCTGGCAACAAAACTGACACCTTTTTTACAAGGAGTCATGTTTGCACAGACCACAATACCTGCAGTCATAATGCAAACAAAAAACATAACTCTGATAATGTATGCACTGTCCTTGAAGTTGATTGGTCCACACCCGAGACAGCTTTCCTTAGAGCCTAGTCTCACATGGGTTGGACCTAAGGAAAGCTGTCTCGGGTGTGGACCAATCAACTTCAAGGACAGTGCACATACATTATCAGAGTTATGTTTTTTTGCATTATGACTGCAGGGATTGTGGTCTATGTAAACATGACTCCTTGTAAAAAAAGGTGTCAGTTTTGTTGCCAGATAGAAGGGTAAAAAAACAATTATCATTGGTCCTGAGTCTGGCTGTATGACACCAATGGCACCAGTCCAAGCAAGCCGGACTCTGCTGCTGCTGCTGATGATGATGAGACACGGAACGTGGAAGCCACTCGGGTCGAGTTGGTTTACGTTCAACCAACGCTGTCGATGGGACGCCTTGTGGCTGACGGGAAGTGTGAACAAAGCAAAAGATGACGGAATTATCTTCTTGGTTCTTTCGGTAAAGTCACGTAGAAGGGAAGTAATAAAATAATAAAAAATAAAACATAATAAAATAATTCTCACGACGTTTCAGCTACAACGCAAGCAGCCGTCTTCACCTGAGAATTATTTTATAATGTTTTATTTCTATTATTTTATTACTTCCCTTCTACGTGACTTTACCGAAAGAACCAAGAAGATGAATTCCTACAGTCACGAAAGCTTTAAATCGAAATGACGGAATTAATGAATGCACTCTGGGTTGACGATTAAATCAACCGCGAAAATTACGATGTCGCATCACCACGATTAGCGACAATTTTCTCGCAGAATATCGCGAGGGGGAAGCACCAAGTAAGTGGATAACGGCCGGTTATGTCGAGCTTAGACCATCATCATCATCACCAGCACAACAACAACAATAATTACTATTACGACGACGACGACGACTCCGTATCCTTGTAGCTGCGGCGGCATCGTCCTGCGATGGGAACTCCGTCTCGGTCGCTCATCGCCGAGGAGCCCCCCACAGGACGAGAGGGGGGGGGGTGCGGCGGTGGCGGATACCCAAACATTTCCCCGAGCTCTCACGGACCTCTGGGTGTATTAATTTAACCCTCTCCTGTTCCGTCCACCCACGTAGTGGAAGGGAGTGAGATGGAACAGATGGAGATTAGTCCACCCACGTAGTGGAAGGGAGTGAGATGGAACAGATGGGGATTAGGCCACCCACGTAGTGGAAGGGAGTGAGATGGAACAGATGGAGATTAGTCCACCCACGTAGTGGAAGGGAGTGAGATGGAACAGATGGGGATTAGTCCACCCACGTAGTGGAAGGGAGTGAGATGGAACAGATGGGGATTAGTCCACCCACGTAGTGGAAGGGAGTGAGATGGAACAGATGGGGATTAGTCCACCCACGTAGTGTAAGGGAGTGAGATGGAACAGATGGGGATTAGTCCACCCACGTAGTGGAAGGGAGTGAGATGGAACAGATGGAGATTAGTCCACCCACGTAGTGGAAGGGAGTGAGATGGAACAGATGGAGATTAGTCCACCCACGTAGTGGAAGGGAGTGAGATGGAATAGATGGAGATTAGTTCACCCTCTTTGCTGTACCGCCCTCTACTGGCAGGTGAAGCCCACGCTGAGCTCAACGAAGCGGCTCATCGCGTGGAAATGTCGAGCGGCCAAAAACTCCAAACGCGTCGCGACGTTTTTCCTTCTTCTTAAAGAAGGAAAAACCGGAGGACCTGGAGAAAAGTCCACGCGACCACGGAGAGAGAGACGCAAACTCCAAATATACAGCAGCAGCAGGCATCGTCAGGGTCGGGATGGAACCCACGACCTCCTGCACACCAGGCGAGGTAGTCAACATCTCCTAGCCACCGTGATGATGAGAGACACGCAAACTCCAAGTATACAGCAGCAGGCGTCAGGGTCGGGATGGAACCCACGACCTCCTGCACACCAGGCGAGGTAGTTAACATCTCATAGCCACCACGGCAAGGGAATGCACTGAGAGGCTGTTGTCCGCGGCAGGGGAGATGGAGCGAGATGAGATCCGCTGATGGTGCGGAGTCGAGAGCCAGGCACTGGTGGGGGGGGGGGGGGGAGGCTTTCATACAGCAGTGGATAGACCATGGCTGCTGCTGCAGATGATGATGATAGTGTTGCATAATCACCACACTGTGGAACTCCGCCCTTGCCAATTCACTGCAGATTTTCTTTCGTCCCTCCAGAGTAGAAACCCCTCCCACCCGGCCTCCCTCAGCGCCCCCCACTACACGCAGCGCTGTGTATATTTGTGTCAATCAGCTAATGAGTTGTCGTCGTGAATCCCCCCTCCCCCCCCCTTTAATCATCGCCGAGATTTGTGTCAATCGCCGCAGAATCGTCAACAACGTCTCCGGGTCAATCACGGCAGAGCTGTCGTCCCTCGCGAGTGCCCCCCCGGCCACCCCACCGCTCCCTCGTGTGACAGTGAGCAGCGCAGTTATTGTCAAAGTGTCGTCCCGTGCCCCCTCCACTCCTCCCCGCTTAGTTACAGGCGGGCTGAGCCGAGCGCGATCCCAGTTGCAACGCCGATTCGATCTCGCGCTCTTTGTCCTGGAGGTTTTTTTTTTAGTTTTCTACAATTTTTTTTTTAAATCGAAATAAACGAAAATCTACAAAGTGCTCACGGAGTGAGAAACACGCAGCTTTGTCGTCCCTCGCGATGCCCCCCTCCCCCTTAGAGCCCCCCCCCATCACCAAATTTACGTCGATCGCTGTATCCTGTCGTACCTCCAGAGCCCCCCTGATTACCAGGCCCTTGATCGTCCCCTCCAGAGTCCCCCCCATGGCAACAATAAAACAATAACACCGCAGAGGAGCCGATCCATACATTAGTATCCGGCGATGCTGCGGCTGCTACTGCCGCTGCGTCTGGCAGCAGCAACAAATCAACAATAGTCGACGTTTCGGGCAATGGCCCTACTTCACAGCACGTGTCATTGCGTCATGAGACCCGTGTCGTCATCTTTTATGAAGGGTCGCATGTTATATATCTATTTTTTTATTTCAAGGCCACACAACGCAATGATTTTGACGTTGTAATGATCACTGCAGACGCCGTCGTCCCTCCAAAGCCCCCCCAAAGCCCCCCCATTCGCAGTCACCGCCCTTCCCTGTCCCCCCATGGTACTCTAACAACGCTGCAGCCCCCCCCATCTCTCTATACCACCATTGGTCACGAGGTCAATAAACTGAGAAATTGGTCGTCCCTCCAGAGCCCCCCTCCCCTGATGAGGCGGTCTCCATTGCCTCGGGGTCAATGATTACAGATTTGTCGTCCTTCCAAAACAACCCATCCCCACCTCCCCCCGCCTCCGGTCGTAATCGTCATTCTGTCGTCCCTCCAGAGGACGATTCAACCCCCTCGCACCCCCCTCCACCCCCCCTGCCCCCACCACCCCTCCCTCTGCATTGTCTTGGGGTCAATCAGCGCAGAGATTTGTCGTCCCTCGCGATCCCCCCTGCTCTGTCAGAGCCCCCCCCCCCCTCACCAAGGGGGGCATCGTAATTAAGGAACTTGGATTAATGAGCTCCTCTCCCCAGGGGGTGGGGGGAGAGGGGGGTGGGGGGGTCGAGGGGAGGGGTTCGGGGGGTCCGGGGGGGGGTCCGGGGGGGGGGCCGGGGGAGGGGTTAAAGAAAACAAGGTCACGTGGTCTCATTGTAATGAGCTTCGCGTTCAGAGCGCCAATTGTTCAATGATTGTTACAATTGTACAATGATTGTTAAGTCGCATCGTGTACAACAATAATAACAATTACTTGGCATTATACTAATGACGGTATTGTGATGTAGTTGTGTGTGGTGTTGTATTTCTCGAGATTGTCTCGCAGAAGTGTGCGAGATTTACATAAAATGTATGGCACAGCACAATTACGACACTTATCCTGAACACTGAATATTTAAATATCATACTTAGTAATGATGACGGTGTATTATGCTATTGTAAGAGTGTACATGGTTAGATACACAATATGATATAACACTTAGATAATGTATTACGTAATACACACTAGAGATGATTTTTATTGTGCTATGTAAAATATAATGTATAATTAAGTGTAAACACTTGCAGATATAGGCAATTAGATGATGATTATTTAGATATTACGAGAGTATTAAATTGCAGTATATAGTATACTATGGTGCGAAGGATAATATATTACAATTCATGAATTACAGTTATAATACTACAATGTAGGACTGACAATTACACTATTTAATATATTATATTAATACAATTCATGAATTACAGTTATAATACTACAATGTAGGACTGACAATTACACTATTTAATATATTATATTAATACAATTCGTGAATTACAATTACCCTATATAATATCGTATATTTAATACAATTTATGAATCACAAATGCGTACACCAGATATGCAGTTTCCAATATTAATAATAATTGACGTATAATTAGCATACAAACATGTGTACATTACACATTTTATATTAATATTTTTTTACATTTTATATTGTAAATGTTGGTTTATATATTTACTGTGCCACAACTATGGAGGAGCGGTGGGGCAGTGGTTAGCGCTACGCTACGAACCCGGCCACCTGAGTTGGATTCCCGCTCACGGCCAACACCGCCAGTGACGATTTTCTGAACCGGTCCTAAGCCACCCCTAGGTCGACTCGGCCTCAAATGAGTAGCTGGTGCGGTGTGTAGTAAACATCGCCACTGGGGAGACAAAGGCGGCCGGGCGTGGTGCTGGCCACCCCCCACCCCCTCGTGTGCCACAGCGCCAGCAGCCTTCACAGGTGCTGCTCGCGGACGGCACTTGCCCCAACGCTCTGTCGCAGGCTACACGGGGGATCTTTGTCTTTGTGTGCCCAGCCACCGCATGCCCAAGCAGCTTCTGTCGCCGGATAGAGGGGAGGGGGGGGCTACACGGGCTGCTGCAACAGCAGGAGAAGAGATGGAGCTGATGGAGCTGATGGGGTAGGGAAGGTGAATTGTGGAGCTGAGTGGACTTGCCGATGAGCGGTACCAGCGGTGTCGAGATCGGCCTCTGTGGAGGAGGCTCGTGAAGGACGCTACTGGGCAGTTGGAGGCAGTCGCCCTCCAGCAACAGCGGAGGGCGGAGGAGCGACGCTCACAACAACGAGCGGAGTGCCGGGCGGATAAAACGCAGCGAGGTGACAGTCGAGAGCACAGGTGGTGCATCTGCCAGTCATCTCAGTCAACCCATGGCACCTGCTGGGTGTGTCCCGTGACCTCCTGCACCTAGCCTGGCACAGCGGTGCATCTGGCAGTCATCTCAGTCAACCCATGGCACCTGCTGGGTGTGTCCCGTGACCTCCTGCACCTAGCCTGGCACAGCGGTGCATCTGCCAGTCATCTCAGTCAACCCATGCCACGTGCTGGGTGTGTCCCGTGACCTCCTGCGCCTAGCCTGGCACAGCGGTGCATCTGCCAGTCATCTCAGTCAACCCATGGCACCTGCTGGGTGTGTCCCGTGACCTCCTGCACCTAGCCTGGCACAGTGGTGCATCTGCCAGTCATCTCAGTCAACCCATGGCACCTGCTGGGTGTGTCCCGTGACCTCCTGTTAGCGAACCTGCGACACTTCACATGATAGCCTCAAAGTGCACCTAGCCTGGCACAGGCTCGGTGCGAGCGGTGGTGCAGTGGTTAGCGCGCTGAGCTACGGACGCTACAGAGACCCGAGTTGGATTCCCGCTCACGGCCAACACGAGTGGCGAATGTTTAAACCGCTCCTGGGTCTCAACACACTGGAGAGACAAAGGCGGCCGGGCGTGGTGCTGGCCACCCACCACCTCGTGCGCCGTGCCAGCAGCCTTAACAGGTGCTCGCTAGCAGCACTTGCCCCTACAGTCTGTTAAGGCTATCCGGGGGATCTTTGTGCCCACGTGTGCCCACGTGTGTGTACTTACTCCATTGTCGGGGTAGGTTGTCCACCCTTGGTCTTTGTGTCCCGACATCGTGTTCAGGAGGTCCACTGCACGGGCACAGCACACCACGCTGGGTTACACACACACCCCGACGTCACACGTGGCGTGTGTGTGTGTGTGTATGTGTGTGTGTCTATGTGTGTGTTTGTGTGTCTATGTGTGTGTGTCTATGTGTGTGTCTATGTGTTTGTGTCTATGTGTGTGTGTCTATGTGTGTGTGTGTCTATGTATGTGTGTGTCTATGTGTGTGTGTCTATGTCTGTGTGTGTGTCTATGTGTGTGTGTGTATGTGTCTGTGTGTGTGTCTATGTGGGGAGCGGTGGTGTAACGGTTAGCGCGCTGCGTGTGCTACGAACCTGGCGACCCGGGTTCGATTCCCACTCACGGCAAACACCAGTGACGATTTTTTTAACCGGTCCTGGGCCTCCCCTAGGTCGACTCAGCCTCAAATGAGTACCTGGTGCGATGTGTAAACATCGCCGCTAGGGAGACGAAGGCGGTCGGGCGTGGTGCTGGCCACCCACCCCCTCGTGTACCGTTCCGGCCTTCATAGGCGCTCGCTAACAGCACTTGCCCCTACAGTCTGTTAAGGCTACACGGGGGATATTTTATCTTTATGTGTGTGTGTCTATGTGTGTGTCTATGTGTGTGTGTGTGTGTCTATGTGTGTGTGTCTATGTGTGTGTGTCTATGTGTATGTCTATGTCTGTGCGTGTGTGTGTGTCTATGTGTGTGTATGTGTGTGTGTGTGTCTATGTCTGTGTGTGTGTCTATGTCTGTGTGTGTGCCCACCTCCGATAGTGAACCTCTCCCCTCTCGTCTCTTATAACGGCGCCGTATCTCTGCATCGGCCCGATCTTCCCGTAAATCCCGCGGCAGACTGTGTGGCCCACACCCACTCCGACCGTCCTCCCCTCTCGTCTCGAGCTCTCTTATCCACATCAGCCCAATCCTTCCGTAAATCACGTGGCGCTCTGCGTGTGCCAGCCAGCCCGACCCTGAAACCTTTCGTCTCGAGATCTCTAATCTGCATCGGCCCAATCCTCCTGTAAATCGCGCGGCTGACTGCGTGGGCCACTCCGACTCTGAATATCTCCCCCCGTCAGCCAGGCACACGGGATCTCCCTGTACACCCAGGTCATGCCTCACGTATATCACGGGGCTGACGGTAAATCACGTGGCTTGTGTGAGTGTTTGGCCATCCCCACTGTGAGCCTCTCTCCTTTCGTCTATAGATCTATGTGTCGACATCAGCTCAAGCCTCTCGTACACCACGTGGCTTGCGTGAGTTGTGAGGTGTGTGGCCTCCCCGACTCTCCCCGCCCAGCCCCCTACCCTGCTGCTGATGCTGTGCATCACACACAGAGACCAGGACATTGAGACCAGGACATTGAGACACTGAGACCAGGACATTGAGACACTGAGACCAGGAGACAGAGACCAGGACATTGAGACCAGGACATTGAGACCAGGACACAGAGACCAGGACACTGAGACCAGGACATTGAGACCAGGACATTGAGACCAGGACATTGAGACCAGGACATTGATACACTGAGACCAGGACACAGAGACCAGGACACCGAGACCAGGACACAGAGACCAGGACACAGAGACCAGGACACTGAGACCAGGACACTGAGACCAGGACATTGAGACCAGGACATTGAGACACTGAGACCAGGACACAGAGACACTGAGACCAGGACACAGAGACCAGGACACAGAGACCAGGACATTGAGACCAGGACATTGAGACTAGGACACAGAGACCAGGACACTGAGACCAGGACACAGAGACCAGGACACTGAGACCAGGACACAGAGACCAGGGCACTGAGACCAGGACATTGAGACCAGGACATTGAGACCAGGACACAAAGACCAGGACACAGAAACATTGAGACCAGGACATTGAGACCAGGAGACAGAGACCAGGACACGGAGACCAGGACACTGAGACCAGGACATTGAGACCAGGACATTGAGACACTGAGACCAGGCCACATAGACCAGGACATTGAGACCAGGACACAGAGACCAGGACACAGAAACCAGGACACAGAGACCAGGACACTGAGACCAGGACATTGAGACCAGGACATTGAGACACTGAGACCAGGACACATAGACCAGGACATTGAGACCAGGACACAGAGACCAGGACACAGAGACCAGGAAATTGAGACACAGAGACCAGGAGACAGAGACCAAGACATTGAGACCAGGACATTGAGACACAAGGTGTCCCCGAAGGGCGTTTTAAGAATATTTTACCTTCATTGAGCTGAGACGCTCCGTGGCCACGTCTGCTCAACATCGCCACCACCGCCGCCACCACCGCCGCCGTGATCCTCATCATCGCCATCATCTCGGCCCGTGGGCTTGCGGCCGCGGTCTTCACGATGGCACGGTTCTGCGTCCTGGAGGTCGACTTTGCTGCTCGCTGTCTAAACGTTTCGGACGTTCCGAAGACTTTCGCTTTTGGTCCTGGTGTGGATGTTATTGTGTCTGTGTTTATGTGTGTGTATGTGTGTATGTATGTGTGTCTCTGTGTTTATGTGTGTGTATGTGTGTGTATGTGTGTGTGTGTTTATGTGTGTCTCTGTGTTTATGTGTGTGTATGTGTTTATGTATGTGTATGTGTGTGTATGTCTGTGTGTCTCTGTGTTTATGTGGGTGTATGTGTGTATGTATGTGTCTGTATGTCTGTGTGTCTCTGTGTTTATGTGGGTGTATGTGTGTATGTATGTGTCTGTGTGTGTATGTCTGTGTGTCTCTGTGTTTATGTGGGTGTATGTGTGTATGTATGTGTGTGTATGTCTGTGTGTCTCTGTGTTTATGTGGGTGTATGTGTGTATGTATGTGTGTGTATGTCTGTGTGTCTCTGTGTTTATGTGGGTGTATGTGTGTATGTATGTGTCTGTATGTCTGTGTGTCTCTGTGTTTATGTGGGTGTATGTGTGTATGTATGTGTCTGTATGTCTGTGTGTCTCTGTGTTATGTGGGTGTATGTGTGTATGTATGTGTCTGTATGTCTGTGTGTCTCTGTGTTTATGTGGGTGTATGTGTGTATGTATGTGTCTGTATGTCTGTGTGTCTCTGTGTGTGTATGTGTGTCTGTGTGTGTATGTCTGTGTGTCTCTGTGTGTATGTGTGTCTCTGTGTGTATGTGTGTCTGTGTGTGTGTATGTCTGTGTGTCTCTGTATGTGTATGTCTCTGTGTGTGTATGTCTGTGTGTCTCTGTGTGTGTATGTGTGTCTGTGTGTCTATGTGTGTGTATGTGTGTCTGTGTGTGTATGTCTGTGTGTCTGTGTATGTGTGTGCGTGTCTGTGTGTGTCTGTGTGTTTGTGTCTGTGTGCCTGTGTGTCTGTGTATGTGTGTTTGTGTGTCTGTTTGTGTGTCTGTCTGTGTGCGTCTGTGTGTGTTTACGTGTGTGTGTCTGTGTGTATCTGTGTATGTGTGTCTATGTATCTGTGTGTGTTTGTGTGTGTCTGTCGTTGTTTGTGTGTGTCTGTGTGTTTCTGTGTGTGTATCTGTGTGTCTGTGTGTGTCTGTGTCTGTGTGTGTCTGTCTGTATCTGTGTGTGTGTGTCTGTGTGCCTATGTGTGTGTGTATCTGTGTCTGCGTGGCTGTATATCTGTGTGCCTGATCTGTGTGTCTGTGTGTGTCTATGTATCTGTGTGTGTGTATGTGTGTGTCTGTTTGCGTGTGACTGTGTGTGTCTTTGTGTGTGTGTGTGTCTGTGTGTGACTGTGTGTCTCTGTGTGTGACTGTGCGTGTCTTTGTGTGTGTGTGTGTATGTCTATGTATCTGTGTGTGTCTGCGTGTTCCTGTCTGTTAAAACTACGGTTGGGGAGGGGAGGGGTTTTATAATCTGCGTAAAGTGACTATCATATGCAATGATTATGTTTATATCGTATTCTTATAGCCTATCATAACTACGATATACAATCGCTCTTACGATTGGTGATGTTAATTGCTATGTTAATGTTCGTATGCTAATGAGGTGACCAATATTATTATTATTGCTTCTGTCTTGGTGCGGGCAGAGGTTTGTGTTTTTCTTCTCTTGTCTGCGAACACAAGGGTCAAGGGTGTGGAGTCAGATTGGGTGCGCTAACCATTGCGCCACCGCTCTTCCCGTAGTATGGACAAAGATCCCCGTATAGCCTTCACCAGGCTGTTGGGGTAAGTGCTGTCAGCGAGTTAGGGTGCTGTGGCCAACACCGCCGCGCACCACCGCCTTTGTCTCCCCAGTGGCGATGTTTACTACACACACCGCTACACCAGGTACCTATTTGAGGCTGAGTCGACCTAGGGGAGGCCCAGGACCGGTTCAGATAATCGTCACCGGTGTTGGTGGCCGTGAGCGGGAATCGAACTCGGGTCGCCGGGTTCGTAGTGCAGCGCGCTAACCGCTGCGCCACCGCTCTAAACTAAATTTCGATTTAAAGCTTTCGTGACTGCAGGGATTCATCTTCTTGGTTCTTTCGGTAAAGTCACGTAGAATGGAAATAATAAAATAATAAAAATAAAACATTTTATTTTATAAGGTGTTATTTTATTATTTTATTATTTCCATTCTACGTGACTTTACCGAAAGAACCAAGAAGATCATCTAAACTATTTCATATTTTAGATTGTTGGCGGTCAAGGCCCCGCCACTGAGACGCTGAGTAGCTCTTGTTCAGGAGCGACCTGCCCATCAAACGAGAGCTCTAGGAAAGTGGCGTCTCATCATCATCATCATTGCGTGGACATAGAGTAGACAAACACTCTAACGCGTGGTGATGTTATAATGGTTATTACACATGTGGAGGGGCACAGAGAGAGACACGCAAACTCCAAATATACAGCAGCAGCAGGCGTCAGGGTCGGGATCGAACTCACAACCTCCTGCACACCAAGCGAGGTAGTCAACATCTCCTAGCCACCGTGATGATGATGATGAGAGAGAGACGCAAACTCTAAATATACAGCAGCAGCAGGCGTCAGGGTCTGGATCGAACCCACGACCTCCTGCAGACCAGGCGAGGTAGTCAACATCTCATAGCCACCGCGCCGCGCCTCTCACACAACCGGGAGCGTCTCTTGACGAACGGAGGCGTTCCATCTCACGGGATTATCCCCGTGAGAGATAGTCTGTGAAATAACACTCACACACACATACACACACATACATACACACATACATACACACACATACACACACGCACACACACATACACACATACACACACATATACATACAACAACAACAACCGCCATTCGCCACTAAGTGGCGGTGACGTCACCACGATGCTTGTGCCAGGCCAAGTGCACCTTGAGGCCACGTGAAGTGTCGAACGCCCGCTGGCAGGAGGTCACGGGGCAGACCCAGGTGCCACGGGACGACTGACTGAGATGACCGAGATGACTGGCTGATGTACCACCTGTGCCCCCTACTGTGCCAACTTGCTGTGCTTTAGCTACCCGGTGCTCCGCTCGTTGTTGTGAGCGTCGCTCCTCCGCCCTCTGTTGTTGTTGGAGGGTGACTGCCTCCAACTGCTCAGTAGCGTCCTTCACGAGCCTCCTCCACAGAGGCCGATCTTGACACCGCTGGTACCAGTCATCGGCAAGTCCACTCAGCTCCACGTTCTCCTGTACTACATCACTCCATCTCTTTTCTAGCCCGTGCCGCGCCCGTTTAGCCCCCTCGATAAGGCCGAACAAAAGCTGTTTGGGCATGCGGTGGCTGGGCATGCGGGCTACATGACCCAGCCAATGCAGCCTTGCCTGCCGCAGGAGCTCACCGATGGGACTTTGCCCAGATCTTCAAGGATTTGTGAGCTCCTCACACATTCCAGCCTGGTTAACCCAGGAATGATCGTATGCAGGTCAGCCCTAAATGTTTATAACAAGCGAAGATGTTCCATTAGGGGTGTCCACGTTTCGCAAGCGTAGAGAAGGGAGGGAATGACCGTGGCAGAGAAGACCCGAAGCTTCGTGCTGAGCGATAGACCAGGTAGCTTCCACACAGCGTTACGCAACCGATGAAAAGATATTGCCGCTCGACTGATTCGGAGTGAGACCTCTACTGTTAAACCGGAGCGGTCATGAACACACTGCCCAGGTATAGGAAACTCTCCACTCTCTCTACAACTGCCCCATCACCGATTGGGAGTTGTGGGGGTGGAGTGCCCGATGGTTAAAAAATACCCAGGCAGGTGCTTTGTTGGTGGGGCTGATGGTAAGGCCCCACCTCTTAGTGGCACACTCCAGTTTCAGCAGCAGCGCCTTCTCTGAGTGAGCCGCAATTACCAAATCATCGGCATACATAACGTGGTTGACCAATAGAGAGTCATCCCTTGACCGCACCCGGGCATCGATCAGCCTCCAATTGTATCTGTACCAGATGGAAATTCCTCCGATACAGCCATCGAAGGCTTCACGAACTACGTGGTCGAAATAGATGTTACATAATGTTGGAGCCAGAGGACATCCCTGTCGCACCCCAAGGTGAACAGGGAATGGCTCCGACTCCAGCGCGTAGTTTTTACCCGGGCCCGCCTCACCATTCATGAAGGTCCTTAATGATCATGAGCAGAGGGTCAGGGGACTCCGAAAGCACGAAGAACAACCAGAGCCCAGGCCCTACTAATAGTATCATAGGCCTGACCCAGGTTTCATAAAGCAGAGATGTAGGTATTGTCTGGACTGTTAGCAACGGACCAGAAAACTATGGCATCTGTGCCAGAGGACCGACCATTCCTGAACCACATTGGGGCTCTGGCCAGCCTCTCCCTCAGGCTGACCTGGCAAGGCGATGTGACTAATCCTTGCCCCAGGACCTTTCCCGGCACACTGAGGAGTGAGATGCCCCTGTAGTTGTTACAATCTGTGCGGTCTCCCGTCTTAAAGATGGGGACCACCAGGGCATCCTTCCAGTCCTGCGGAACCCGTCCAGTGGCCCAGACTGTTGTTGTGATGTCATGTAGGGCAGTCTGTGCACAAACGCCACCCTCCCTCAGCATTTCGCTTGGGAGATCATCTCTGCCCGGTGCCTTTCCTGGTCTCAGACTCTGAATCGCCTTCAGTACTTCCTCAACAGATGGCACATACACACATACACATACATACATACACACATACAAAGACACATACACACACATACAAAGACAAAGACACATACATACACATACACACACATACACACACATACAAAAACAAAGACACATACACACACATACAAAGACACATACACACACGTAAACACACATACACACACATACACACACATATACAAAGACAACGACACATACACACACATACAAAGACAAAGACACATACACACACATACATACACATACATACACATACATACACACACAATCACGCACACAGACAAAGACCCCCCGTGTAGCCTTTACCAAGCTGCTGGGGCAAGTGGTGTGAAGGCGCA